AAAACTACGACACCAGTCTACTTCTATCATCTCAGCTGCGATGCCTAACCACGTATCCAGTAATCGGTCCCGACGGAGCAAGAAACGACCAAAGCGTCTCGTGCTATCAAGAGTCAACCAAGGAACGGGAGAAGCAGGGGAGGAAGAGGATGACGATGAGGAGGATGAAGAGGATTCTGAAGGAATCACTGAGGATGTAGTCAATGTAGTCAATGCAACCAGAGGCGTTTTGTTTGAGGAAGAAGAAGACGATGGAGATGATGAAGATGTGGATGAAGAGGGAGAGAAGGATCCAGAAGAACAGGATGAGGTCGCAGTTGATGCTGATCGAGGCAATCATATAATAGGATCAATGCCTTATTCAGTCAGTCGTTCTTCGACGCGCACTCGACTGCGAACCAGAATGGATAATGCCACGTTACCGATGACGACTGTTGCAACACAATCATTACTGCCCGGAGAATTAAACCTCTTGGAGCCTGGACTCCGATTAGTGCCAATGCTAGGTCCATTCCCGTCGGCACCACCTGCTGAGCTAGTTAAATCTTTTGAGGAGGTAAGTTTACATTCTCCTAGTGTTTATTCTCCTTAAAATATGAGGTACTACCGCGGTCTCCAAAGTATGAGTGTCAAATTGAAATACTTGACAAGTTGTCACTTCGGATATGCAAACTAAACACCGGAATACATGGTTAAAATTGGAATATAGTTATCATTCAAAGTAGTAGCACGACTTACTTTGGCAAAATAAGCAGTTAATGATCAGGGTTGAGCTCATTAATATGGGGAAACAGATGGTTAACTTATATCTTAAAATATATGGTGTTAAGCAATTGTAGTTGATTGCTGAAGCTGATATAGGAAGCTGGGAAGCTAAATAAAACTAAAAAATATTCTGGTGCTGGGCCCGAATAGGGCAACTCCTAAATATCCGTATCCTTTCTTACTGATTTGCATCGGGATAAGTAGGCATATACTCGATGAAAAAGATAAAGCTTGTTCTAATTTTCCGTATGAAATGCGTGAGAAAATTACAGATATTTAATGAAAGCCCTATTTACAAACTAGTCACTCTAATAAGGACATTGTCATAATTACTATTGATGATTGACTGATGATAGGACTAAAATGGTGTCAAGGCACTGGCTTTGATGCGATGATTATCGAAATAATATGCAAGGCCCTATCCACAGTTTGACATTTTTGTCGCTTTAAACTGACAGATA